CGATCCTTCGTCACTATCTAATCTTGTATGTATAACTGTTCGGTAGTTTGACTTTTGAAAACCGTTCGGCCAAATTCGTACTTACTTTTGTGTATATATTGTGACTCTTTCTGTAAGGCCGTTCGGCTATGCGCATAGTGTAAGACTGAACTGAGTTATTATTAATTGTAATCATTCTATCATATAATATGTTGCTGTATTTTTGGGATGTTACACATCATACCTAACCTAAAATTTCTATAGCTCACAAATGAACTCTCTAACCCTATTTAACTCTCCTCCTTAAAGAAAAACTAAAAACAAAACTCTCTATTTGAAAATTTTTCTTTTTAACAGGATCTCAAAAGGGCATGCCTGTGTGTGTTCATTCACATGAACAATCATCAAAAAGGTTAAAATTTCAAGCATCATAATCACGTGAATATGTCGCATTCGTTCCATAATTGCACCTGAGAAGGGTTAACTTAGGGCCTGATTCAACGACAAATTGAGAACAAGTATAATGAACATGAATTCCTGTTTCCCAATGAGCTCATAATGCCTCCTTGAGATGGAAGGTTCTAGCCATGGTCCTAGCATGATCATATTCATTGAGGTCAACAAGTATTTTCTTTAATCGGCGAGCAAGATAACTTGTGTCACTCTCTGGTACATTTCTTCTCTCCAGAATCCTTCCAAGTGACAGCACATAAGTCAGCAGGGGCTGCAATTTGTGTCTGCAATGTGAAGAAGACGGGGAAAGTATTAGACTACTGACCAAAAGTCATAATGCCTCTCATTTTACATATAGTGATAAAAGAAATAATAAATGACATCTAACTAGAGTTAAATGACTTCATAGAGGCTGTCACATATTAAACCTAAACCCTCTATTTAAACTCCCACCCATTCCATTAGCCCCCTGCCGTACGTACACATTAAATAAGTAACCCAAATTGCCAAACACAATAACCAATTTGCCCCTAAAGACAGTACCCAAACTGACGTAATGTGAAAAGAGTCTAAAAATGTGCAAAATGCCTTTCCAAAAGAAACAAATGTAATCAACAATTTAACAAAGTATCAGCAACCTACTTTCTGTCTCCGATGACACTTTGGCCAGTCCAGACCCCAGAGAGGGAAGCAATAACCCGTTCTGTTCTTGTTATCGCATCTTGAACATTTTCTGATATGATTCTTAAGTGAGGAAGAACTTTACCAAACAAAAGCTCATCTAGAGCAAGCTTTTCTAACACTGACATTGAAAATACATCATTCCACAAGCAAATGTTTCTCAACAATCGAACAGACACACCAAACCTATATGCGGCAACTCGTGCAGCATCTGGAACAGCAACTAATACCAGAGGGCTCCATGTGGGGACCTACAAAGTAGACAAGCTGATAAATCTATCCAAAAATGCTTAATAATTCAAAATACCTACAATAAACCCATATATAGCTAGCAATGCAGATCAAACATAAAACGCACAAAGTTTTCTAACTTTCTAAAGATAAAATAAAATGCATGAATATGTACTTCTAACTAGTAACGTAGAAAGTGTAAAGGCTGATTTGGGAGCATACCGTAAGATTAGCAACAGCATCAGCCAGGCGTGTTCGTATGGAAACTAGTAAACCAGTAAGAGCTTCACTTTCATGAGACACATGATCCACAATCAATTTTGTTGCAGCAATCGCATTCTTTGTTTCCTGATGACTAAGCATGTCCCAACAATGGGAAATTTCATAGTGCAGAAGAGGAAGCGCAACCTTTTCCACCAAGTTTGGAACTAGTTCAAGGTCAGCATCTCCATCATCATGAACAAAATTTTTTCTATCTTCAGGCAAACCATAATTCAACAATAATTTATACCTGAATAATTCAACAATACGCATTATAAATTGATGAAACATTAAAGGTAAAAAAGATACTCCAGCAATATGCATACATATCAAGGTTATCAAACTGAGATCCAAATCATGAATTCTAGAGTTATTTTAGAATTGTTGTATCCAATTGCGAGATTTAGGTATGACGAAAAATTACTTCAAATATATCATATAGGTGATACATAGTGCTGAATGTAAACAATATAAACTACAATAGATAAAACAACACAAAATGCATTCCACTTTAGATCTAGGTTAGTAAGGTCATTTTTTCAAAAGAATGGAAACAAGATAATTAATACTAAATGCATTGAATGAGTGAGTGAAAAATAAAGTGGAATAATCAAATAGGAAGTTCACAAATGTTCTTTCAAATTCCATTTCATTTTAGAATATAAGCTCATCGTGCTTCTTTTATTATTTTCATAAGAATTGACAAAAAAGTAAGAAGCACGAATAGTTGAATCATAGCAGTGGTTAAAATGTAGATACAAATTAGTAGATAGCTGAATTGTATCGAATCATGAATAATAAGATTCTGATAACTATTATATATATATTAACAAGAAAGGGAATGCAATTAAGTGGCTTGTAAAAAGAAGCCTTTGACCCTATATAATGCCTCTGAAAGGCTTCAAGAAAGAATAGTAACACGGGGAGAATAGTTCAATACCATTTCATCTCTGAAAAATCTATGCCCTTGTGAAGTGGGTCCCACCTCAGAAGTTCTAATCTCACATATGGAGAGAAGACCAGTGGAAGACTCAATGACATATAAGCATCTTTATAGCTTGATGAATACTCTCTTTTCCATTCTTCCATTCTTTCTTTGACCAAAGATAATTGACCATATTCCTCAGAAGCATCACCAAAAATCTCATCAGCAGCCTGCAGCACCAAATCACGTTGTGACTCATATGCTTGGCTCTCACTATCACTCTCGTCAGTACTTGACTCACCCTCTATTTTATGACTATCCAATTCCATGGGTGTCAGCTTATTAGAATCAAATACTTGTGACCTCTTCCGTTGACTAGCCTCAGCCCTTATTTTCATTTGCATCCGTTTCTCAAGATTCAAATCTCTACCAAATTCATCTAATTTAACTGGCAGATCTTTTTGTTTTCTTAAAGCAGTATATGCTTCCTGAGCAGCAAATTTGGCAGCTTCTATATTACCTTTCTTGTTAAATACTGACATTGCAGCTTTTACAGCTGCTTCTACCTCCATAATTTCATCATCATTGTTAACGGTTCTTCTTTCGAAAATGGTTGATGCACGATCTTCGTGAAGTTTCTTCATCTGCTCTTCAAGTTCTTCAATGTAAAAAGCTTTGTGCTGAAGTAAAATTCATAGGATAACTTAAGTTAAAGCCTCAATGAATGACACCAAACATAAAAACATTCGAAAATGACAAGATAATTAAGTGTCAGCTTTTAAATATCCAGCATTAAGAAAACATATATACACTCATTTTCAACATTATTAGAAGTATCACTCATGTTTTCTAAGTGGTTTATAGCAATCCCACATGGTACTGTCACTATCATTGTATTGCATTAATTATGTCTTCAATTGTAGGTAATTTTTATTTTATTTTTCAGCATACAATTGGGATTGGGATTGCAATAGCATTTCAAACATGTAAAAGCACACAATTCTACAAATGGATTATAGTC